CTCTACTATTATAATTATATAAGCTAATACCGTAACACAATGATCCACACTTATATACTATGTTAAGAAAACATAAATATATATATACATGTATGATTTAAAAATCATAAAATACACATAATATATACGCATAAATATATTCAGAAAGAAAAAGGGAAAATATATAAAAAAAATATATATATATATAAAAAATGGAAAAATCCGTATACATATATGATCTTATTGTTAGAGAAAAATCTTTATATACCCATACATATATATATATCTAATTAAATCTTATTATTATGAATATGTACTCATTTAGTTGTAAGATTACCAAATCTGTTAACCACATGCGCTTACCTATAATTATACCCGATATTCATGTACGCAGAAGTTAATATATCTACTTATATACTCATCAAATTGGAACTGTAATAATTTCAGACCACCATGAAGCCTCTAATCCTACTAATCCTCTTAGGCGAAACCATCGCATTAATTGGATTTGATTGCGGTGGACAACACCTTAATATAACGGCAGTCTCCTTACTTGATGTTGGCGAATGTGACTTAAACATACGAAAACCTAATACCACTGATGTCCATATCCAACTACTCCAACTATCTGATTATAGTTACACCGAAGTCATACAGTGTAAGGTCGAAATATCCAGAAATATCTATCATTGCGGCATGCATTCGCATATTTCTGCAGTTCATAATGGGAGAGCCGACTATGTGCATGAAACTGGATACTCTCAATGCCTGAGAATGCTCCAAGATGGAACGCTTTCTTTTGGCAACGGCAACCTTGTTACCGGTATAAAAGCTAACCACACGACATACCGAAGCCTCACCATAGCTGGTCGTGTGCAAGTTGACGGATACTGTAAAGGAGCTCAATATAATGATCCATACGGAACATGGGACGACGTCGTCGTCCAAGCAGCCGTGAAAATTTCCCTGAAATCTTCCTATGTTCCTATCCAGTTAAATACCGGGAAAATTAAATTAAAATCCGGTACAACTTGTGATATCATCGATGGCTTTTGCCTAGATGCAGATGACGGATACACCTTCTGGAAATCCATACCAACTACCACCTGCAATTTTCATCAATACGATGTCCTGTACGAAGGACCCGCCAATAAAATCACAGAGGAAACTTCTGAAGCCCCTGTTATCTATAGTTTGGTCATCCAGGAAATCACCTTCGCTCTCATGACAACCACAGAGATGCCCCTATGTGGTTATACTCTTTTACGAACCGAACATCCAAAATTATTTATCCTGGAAGCTAAACCAGGAAATACATTTGCCACTCGAGGAACAATACCTGTGAACAATCTCGATATATTTACCTACATGAATTCTAAATTCGTGTATATCGAGAAACATGTTAGACAACAAATGACATCCCTGTATAATAATGTCATTTTGCAAAAATGCGAATTGGAAAGGCAAGTAATAATGAACGCGTTGTCGTTCGCTACGCTTCAACCTGACGAATTCGCCTACCGGCTTATGAAAGGACCAGGATACATGGCTGTGACCACTGGAGAAGCGGTCCAGATAATTAAATGTATACCTGTTGAGGTAAAGGTGAGAAAGACGGGAAAATGTTATATAGAATTACCCGTGACCATACGTAACGAATCCTTATTTATCACACCGAAATCAAGGATTGTTACTAAAATCGGTAATGAACGCGAATGTAGTATCGAATTACCCACCTTGTACCGCATCGAAGATACCTGGATTCAAATCACACCTGAAATCCAAATTAGGCAATTACCCCCAGATCAATTGAAACCTATGGCCGCTCTGACATGGAGATATCTAACTCCAGGACCCCTTGCGGTGAGCGGAATATACTCGGATGAAGATCTTGAAAAACTACGGAGTCATATTATGTTTCCTGCAGAGAAACCAGCGCTGCTTAATGCCATAGCCAGAGGATTGACTGGACACTCTATGAATACTGAAGGAATATCAGTCTACAACTTGTTAGACGAAAATTCCTTGAACAAAATAGTGGAAAGTACTGCCTCAAGAATATGGAAAGGATTTATAAATTTCGGCTCTGCAACAGCCGGAATAGTCGGCATATTCATGATCATCCGACTAGTGAAACTTGCAATCGACACTATCATCCACGGATACGCCCTACATACTGTCTATGGATGTAGTATTCACCTGTTCGGAGCATTATGGAGCTCACTCGCAAATTTGTTACTTCATCTGGCTCGGGACTCTGAAAAACAACGAAAAAACAACTCTGGAGGAACATCATCCCCTGAGAGACCGGCCAACCAGATTATAAATATGGAAGCCACAGCACCACCAGACGTAACCACCCAGGAACCAATTCCCGTTAAGCCTCCCAGAAAGAAGGCACAACATGAGGAAAACGCCAACCAAGTAAATATGCCTATAACCTACTCTCACTTGAGAGAGCATATAAATACTTTAGATAACTCTACTCAATCTCCCTAAATCAAAATCCTCTGAAAACTATCGGATTTTGACTCTTTAAGGGGGGAGGTGTTACGTCCCGCAATGAAAAATTTTCAAAATCTTTATATTACACTATATCGCATATTAAAATTCCAAAACTATATCTATATCATAATCTTTACCTACTATTGTTATATAATAATGTCTATATATATATATCTGTCCCTCGCTGATAGCATATGTGTAGTACACTCATTGAAAGTCGCTACAGAATACCTGAAAATTATAGAAAATATCAATAAAATGTTATAATATTATCATATCGTTATTACTCTATATAAAATTTCGTTATACTAGTGGAACTAACCGTAAAACCAGCATTAGCAATATATTTAAATATATATATATATATATATATATATAGACAAAACCTAACAAAATGGACCTAACCGTTATCATTGGAAACTTATTGGATAAACTTTAATTAACTAACTTGAAGATCATAAAGCTATAATAGTGTAAAGAATTTCAAATTTACAAATATCTCTCACTATCCGAATAATTAATTGTAATGAAACAGATTCGATAACGATTCATTTTGTTAACAAAAAAAAAACAATATATGAAATAACAAAAAACAATATATGAAAGAAAGAAAAAGAAAATATATATATATACTTACGTAGAATAGATTTAAGTTTTAGTTAAAGTATCGTAAAGTGTAAGATCAATTATCCTTCCGATAAGTATATATAATTCACACTCTTCAAATAATTAGAATATTTCCCGCCTTCATACGCGTATACTCGTACATAGATCCCCAATTTTAAGAATCTGTAAAGGAAAACCCATCGATATAAGCCAAATCTAATAATCCCATATTTTCCAGTAGAGACAAGAAACACTCTTATAAAGTAAGAATCAAAACCCTCAACGATTAACATTAATGGAATTGCTCCACAAGCCCCTTTTAAATAATTATTAACAATATAACCTTAAGGACCTAACCGTATAAAAGGAGACGCAAAGACTTGATTTACAAGCAAAAATGCTTAATACAAATAATTAATAAAATAAACTCTGCACAAAAACTAAATAAAATCGTCTTTACAATAGTGACATATATATATATTCATATAAAACCACTCAGTAAAAATACGTACTCATTACATTACGAACAAATAACCGAGAACAAACGTACAATACGTTCAAAAGAAAAATTATAACTCTTATACATGACACTTTTAATAATAAACTCTAATACCGTGACCAACAGATTTGTTGAAATAAGATTACATTTTTAAACAAGCATAAATACCGCCTCTTATATATACATATATATCTGAAATTTTGTGTCTAACATCTCCATTACTATTTAGGAGAACTATAAGACTCAAATATCACTCAAATTATACTTTACTCAAAATATACATACGCTACCCACATATATATATCTGATCATGATTAATTCTATTACATATATCGAAATAAAATCGCTATATTGATCCTACTAACCTAATTATTAAACAAGACATACACATAGATACACAAAATGGAACAACAAAATGTACCTGATCATCAACAAAATTTATAAATATAATGACTTAAAATTCAAGAGAATAAATTAAATAAAATTAAAATCCGTATCTGTTTCTATTTGATCTGTCGGATAAATAAAAGTCCCCTAATTAGTCTTTATGACATACAGAATTTATTAAATAAATATAGTATGTGTTAACCAGAAATTAATAAGAGTTTTTTTTTCAATGAAATAAAATTGATTTATAAACCATTTTGTTGAACCAAAAGAATAAATAAAATATAATAATAATAAGAACCTCTATGCTTATATATATCGTTGGAATCTTGTAGCATAAATCATAGGCTTGAACATCTCTCTCTTTCTTCCACGTAAACTCTCTCTTAATTGTAGATTTTCACCACTAGAAACCTGAAAAAGAACAATCGTAATTAATAAAAGGTCTATATACAATTTCTTATAAAATAATTGAAGAGGATAATGACCCTCCAAGATAATATAATCAAAATATAAAAATTCACAATTTAACGCTGCACATTAATATTAAATTATTTCATGACAAATGTCCAACCAATAACTAAGGATACAAATTTTAATAATATGTACATCGGACACATGCATATATTACATAACCAAATTATAAATAAATACGCGTAAGGCAAATTACTAACAATAATAGTCAATCGCCATGTTATAGAAAATTAAATTCGTATAATTAATATATACATATATGGAATCCCTTGTAATAACAAAAGAAATAATAAGTTAACAATAATCATACAAAAGGAAACATTTACGCTTACTTATGTAATTTCTTTATGATTATCAAACCATAAATATGAAATGATTTATAAGCTTCCTTTTCCCCAATGAATATATATATATATATATTCTCTAGTAACGTGTAGGAAAAATATATAATAAAAATATAATTAATACACATACACGTACATATATTAAACACGACGATTTTTGTCCTACACGGATATCGCGAATAAACTAAGACAAAATAATAATCCCTTGGGAAATCAATGCTTTGACCAATGAGAATTTAATAAAAGATATTTTCAGCAACAGTATTCCTAAACAAATTGTAATAAATTAGATAAAATCATTTTGATATATGAAAAATCGAAATCTTAATGCATTAAAATTTAAAATTATTATATGATTAATGATAATTCAATATTTCATTTATATAAAGCAAAAGTATCGACGTTTATAAAATCTTATTGTATGCCGTTTATAAAATTAACATCTTAAGACATACAAACCAATATTAAAATTTTGATACATATACGTATACACATTCTTGTTAGTTAATAATATAATTTTAAACCTTGTATTCCTTAATTACCTCTAAAAAGAAATTAATACTAACAATCAAGACCTATACAAAATCCCGCGATGCGAGCGATTTTTAATAATCATCCACCTCGACATCGACAAATCCAAATATCATTCAAAAGTAAAGCCGCGGTAGTCTTGCACCTGAAAAAGAAAAATTAATTAGTTAACGAATCTCAAAATTTTAACGAAACATCAATAATAAAATATAATTGGAAGAATCAAATATTAATGATAAAATTTAATAATTAAATTTTGGCGACAGACTTGATAAATTACTCGACGGAATTGATTAAACAATTAATATGCATAGGACATGACAGGCAAAACATATTATATAATCACAAAGAGCAACACGATCGCCTTTAAATAATTAAAAATATAATAATTAAATATTTCAAACGTGTTAAAAATATAATAACATAATATTAATAGGTACGTCTTATAACAGTACCATTAAAAATACGTATATAATCAAAAATCCTAACAACACCGATGTCTTAACTAAAAACATATATATATATATGTTTATATATATATATATATATATATATATATATATATATAATTATGCGTTGAAACAACCCCTGTAATTTTCGACGTAGAAATGTTGATCCATCAACCCTCTTCCTCCCCGTATATAAATACATGTACGCTCCCATTCGGTAACCTGTAAAAGAAATAAAACAATTAATACAAAATAAAGCCAATACTTGGCGTAGACTTTGTTAGGATAATTCATTAAACGAATAAAGATTAACGATAAAAATCTGACGACCTTCTAGTAGCTTCCCCGATGATTACTCTAGCAGTAAAATTTTGAAGGCAACCCCATGAACAAAAATTTAAAATGTTTGTAACTTCGATATCTTTTACAATAGAGATATACTAAGGGCATAATTGTGATCCCATTACCAAGTAGATCAACGTACTAATCGATTAATTAATCAAAATAAGTACACGTCCTAATATGCTCCCGTATATAGTTCTAAATTAACAGTCCCTACTCACCAGAAGTATAAATATGATGCTAACAATCAAATTTACCAACCAAAAGTGTTGTAACTTCGAGATCTTTTACAATAGAATTATAAAAATAATATGACCATGATACCATAACCAAGTAGATCACCACACTAGTCGACTAATTCATCAAAAAAATGACGTCCAAATTTGGGTGAAAATGCTCTCGTATACATCTCTGGGATAATAATCCCAACATATTGGGTATATAGATGTAACCCCTCACGACGATAATATTTTATTTTCCATTGACCATCGATATACTGCTCCCAGTATAACCTATAAATCATAAAACCAAATAAATAATAGCTATGCACTAAATAATATCGCGATACTAATAATCGAAATACAAAACAAAATCGTATAAATATCAAACGAACTCTCCCTCTAAATAATATCATTAAAATCAAAATTACTAGTATCCGACTTAATATCGTCAAAAGGATAACATAACAAATACAAGAATAATAAATGTTAAAATATTTTATAATAATATAATAAAAGTGCCATTGAATAATTACAAGACATATATATTAATCCCCAACTAACAATGAATATTTAATAAATATCCTATGAAACTTGTAAAGACAAAATTATAAATAAAAACGTAAGATAATAACCAAAATTTAACAATTGACAAAACTAATAAATTATATGGTACTAATAATTCTCTATGATTAAAATTGAAATTGCTTAAATACAAATAATAATAATAACACTAATAACAATAATAATAACAATAATGAATTTGCATAAATTTTAATAAGACTTACCCTTAGAAATAATAATATATCCTTGACCATCAATATTTTAATTCAGCACTGCTTGTTTTTCTTGCTAAACCTGTTGACACCAAAAAACAAATAAAAATGAATATACGTTCTTAGACCATAAATTAATAAAAATATTAATAATTAAAAAATTTCAGAAACAAAATTTTGGTAGTAAAATCTAGCTTCAAATTCTACAAAATAATTCTAACAATTATACATATGAATATATATATATATATATATATATATACATATATATATATGCATCCACTCTTATAACCAATAATAAATGAATAATAAAACCTTAACAAATAAAATATTCACTTATAATAAGCTAATAACGAAATTTAACCAAATACTAGCGGCCCACAACACAAATAATAATTTAAATTGATCTTACCTGAAAATCAAATAAGAATACCTTATATGACGAAGTCACGTGAC